CCAACAGCCACATCAAGCAATATTAACCAAGGAACAGCTGACCTGCTGTATATTTGGACAGGAGAGATCAGAGACCACAGGTGATCACAGACCAAACCTACCTCTATCTTGGTGCGGTAAAGCACCAGCCTGCGGAGACGTGTAAGTTTGGAGATATGCGTGAAGGCCTGCGGGTGGAGGCGATCGCAGGAGGACAGATTGAGCTCCTGTAGTCCAGGACAAGTCTGGGAGATCACCTCCAGACAGGCTTCATTCAGGAAGTGGCAACACGACATTTCCAGGCAGACCAAGCTGAGACCACAGGCCTTCATGAAACTGAGGAGGAAGTTAAAGAGAAATGAGTCAACAGAAGACAGGGAACATAAAAAATAAATCAATCCCACTTTAGCAACATTCCACTGAGCAGAAGCCTTTTCACACAATAAGGATAACCTCATTTTCATGAGCTTTTATTTTAGATATGTTATGAATTACAAAAGATCATTTCAATCCATGTTCTTTGTCTCAGTGTGTTCCTCCTTCAAAACTGCTTGTACTTTTGAGTATTTGCTACTTTTTCCAAGGTCATTTCTCTGTTTTCTAGCACTTGTAGCCCACTGATAGTCTGACCTGCTGAAGCCCGTCAGGGTGAGAGCTCCACGGTTGCCGGTCCAGGACAGGTTGAGCCTCTGGAGGAGGGTGCAGCGGCTCTGCAGGTGTCCCAGGGAGGCGTCACTCAGCCGGGCCCAGTAGGGCTGCAGACTCAGCTGGGTGTACTGCAGCGGGTCGCAGCAGTGCTGGTGCAGCAGCTTACAGCTCTGGGCCAGACGGCAGAGGTCTGGCAGGGTCAGGTGGCTCAGTATCAGCTGGATGAGCTGTGGACGGGAGACGGGGAGAGGGTTAGGAGAGGAGAGGAGAAAGGAAAGGGTAAGATGTGGGGGGAAGGACAAGGGCAACAAACAGGAAGAAGAGAGACAAAACATGTTCAATCTGGTAGAAGAACATAGCAGAAAGCAAAGCATAAGACAAAACATTAAAGAGTAGTTGAACCCAGTCGAGAACAGAAAACACTTCAGATTAGAGAAGAGAATGTTAATTGCATCCCCTCTGTCAGATCTAAATAGTGGTTATCTAGGACACAAAGCACTGATAGCAGGATCAGTGGTGAGGTGAGCCAGCTTGTTTTGCACCATGTTTGTGTGCCTCTTTAAAAGAAAGAATGACTGTGCTCGTGTGCGTATGTGTGTGTGTGCCACAGTGAATTAACAATACATGGTGTTCAAGCGGGTATCAGCTGACAGATAATAGCTATATTGTGTTTCTGAAACAAACACACAGCGGTTGTGAAGACTGCTGTTAATGGCAGCGGTTTGGAGAGGAGATAAGAGAATGAATATCAAGAGTTCTGCTGGTGTTTTGAAGCTCGCCTCAGACGACATGATACGTCTGCATGGCATGAAAATGACTCTGGGTCCATGAGTGCATACAAGATCAAGAAAGTGTCAGAACGTGTCCAAGCCACAATGTTCGTGTGTTTGTGTAGAATACTGGTAAATATGGTGTGCATATACACACATACTGGACTCATATAATTATGAAAAGAACAATGCAGGGGTGGTAGTAAACACAGATGTAAACAATAAAAGATTTACAACACTTAAAATAATCGGCTTAACAAATTTTTATGAGGAATAAAATGTCTTCGGTATCTTTGTTAGAGCTCTAAGATGCTCACAGGGAGTTCTGGCGAGGAACACTGAATGTAATCATAACTTTTTTTTTTAAAGAATCCTTCATAGGGCACCTTTAAGGCTGTAGTAGTAACAGTGTAGCTGCCAGTGGAATGATCAGATTGTACCTCCATATTGGTCAAAGCACAGAGAAGTGTTAAGTCGAGGGAGGCCTAACGGGAAACTTTATTGGAAATTATACATTAAACTCAAAATTTAGTAAATTAGCATAGATAAAAAATATTTCTATTAACCCCTACAGGATCACCTCTGAAAGTCTAGTTGTGTATCTACTCTCCTACTAAGGCCCAAGTGATGCAATGTACACATCATTAAGGTCTGTAGTCACCTCATATGGCAGTTTGTCAAAGTAGCCATTGCCTGTCCTCTGGTGCTTGCCGTCTCCTCCTTGCCTGTAAGGACCTCCCACGTCAGACAGCTCCTCCTCGCTGTCACTCAGGTCACTAATGTCAATGATGGGCATCTTATAGAGAGCCAGCATGGGCCTCTCTTTTACACCCCGCAAGATCACAGCATCCAGCTCGGTGTAGTAGTCCAGCAGAGAGCTGTTGACCTCCAAACGAAGCAGGTTGGTGGGGAAGTTGATATGCTTGATTTTGGGCGAAAACTGGCGCGCCTGGGGTGTCAGCACCTTAGTGGGCTCACCTGACCACAGCACCTCCCACCTGTACGATGGAAAGTGTACACAACAGTTGGACTGTAAAGCCAAAACGTCATTCTTTAAGCTACATACAGCTACATAGACTAAATAGGGTTAGTATGTAGGTACTTTAATCACAGAAGGTGTGAACGGTGAGCGACAGCAAGTTTGCTATGAAGAATGTAGACCTACAACATTACTGATCTGTGTCTCCAGTGCACCTGAAGGGTTTTGCACACTAAAATACTTCATATGTTTCATAACACCAAGATATGCAGCCCAGATTGACATTCATAACAAGGGCAGCATATCCTGATCCCTGTCTCACATCTTCAGCTGATGGCTCAGTGTTTGTTCTGATATGTCACACACTATCCAATACACAGTGACCTCTGCTGAAAAAATGCCTCAGAATTCAACAACTCCATGCCTCATTCATGACTTTGCAGACTTCTGTTTTGACAAAAAAAAAACACTGTTGTGACTCATGATGGATGACTGGTGGGCAGCAATGAACTATTGCTGTTTCCTCCCGATGTTTACTGTTGGCTGAAAAAGAGCTGACAGTAGATACTGCATTCCCCACAATTCCAATAGTGTGTGAAATCTTTATTTTTTTTTGTTTCATTATGTACACTTAGACACCGATCCTAAATCAATAACATGTTAATGGCAAGTTAAAGACAAGTGTAGAGTCTGATATTGGAACTTTTATCTGGTGAAGCAGTTTCTGATGATATCAGACCAGCCACTGACTTTTTGACAACCCTCTTCTAGGGTTACACATAAAGTCTAAGTTAGCATTTGGCACCATCTTCTTAAGGTCAATCTGCTCAAGGCCGGAAGAGCTGTGTTTATGTGATTATTGTCCGACAATCACTATTCTAAGAATAAAAATGCTAGGCAGCAATTTGTGAGGTATAAATTAGCAATTAACACTAAGCAATTCAGTAACACTTGAAATGCTGTCTGTGTTCATTCAAAAAAGTATAGACTTGACATATATTTGAAAATGTACGGGACTATGGATTTCCAGGACAGATGACTGTTGTTACCTGACATCAGAGGGTGGGTTCTGGGAGAAAGGGTTGTGAGAGCAGGCCAGGATCTGAACAATGGCTCCAGGGTAATAGGTCTCAAACACCTCCACTGCTGTAGGGTAGACAGGCTCTTCAAAGCCCAGCTCAATGTAATCCTGGCTGTAGAAGCCTTTAGGGGTGCGGCGAAAAGGTGGCGGAGCACTGGCACACTGTTCCCACCATGTTCCATAAGCTCTGAATACAGCTGTCTGGGTGAAGTCCCCTGAACTGGGGTAGACGTTGGGTACCCCAGCCAGGTTCCACATAGTGTAGGACATGCTATTCTCACTGCCATAGTGGGAGCTGAAGTCCAGAACCTCCTTGGCATACTGCTCCACCTCCACACTGACTGGCAAGACCGCTCGTTGGCCAGATTCCACAGCCCGCCGACTGGTCAGAGCCTCGCCTCGAGTCCCACTCCTGGAGCGCCGCCGCAGACAGATATAGTAAAACATGCTCAAGAGGGTTAACATAGGGAACTCTGGAACTGATGGGGGCAGTGGGGAGAAACGGAGGCTAGAGGGAGGAAGAGCCTCCACCTACTGGTAGTGCATTGTCTCAAGGGCTGGGGATGTACAAAGTGCAGGCTAAAAGCCCGGCTGCATGCAAGACCTGTGGGTTAGGCAGAGAAACACATACAAGAGTAAGAATAGCACGACAGCAGGTCTGAGACACCACAGAGTATGACTACTGCCTGGTCCTGTCATAAAACCACATTACTTTGAATACTTAGCCCCATCTTTAACAATAAGGTTAAGGGAAAGAATGTGGAGCCACTAAATTTTTGGTTAAATGTAAATTACATTTGCATACAATAGAAATCCATCCACAACTAAAAAGAAGGGTAATGCTTACGATTGAGAAGCAGATCTTTAAAAGTTTTTAATGGTGGAACATGACAGTGTAAATATAGCTGGAATGGTGGAATACATATTTAGCAAAAAAAAATCCAGCACTGATGTAAATCAGTGGTACAGCCTCTGTACATTTGCAGTAACGACTTTATCATCAAAAGGTATCTTTGTATCACTGCTGGGCTCGATGCACACTTGTTAAAGATGAGTCTTCTTAATAACATGCAATTAGTAACCTTTGGTTAGCAGAACATGACAGCACCATTGTCAAATAATGGTACAAACAGGATAAGTCAAAACCCTTGTTCTCATAGATATATAGATATATATATATACACCTTGACTGGGTTGTTTTTTGTTGAAACAGCCCAAAATTGGCTCAGTAACTGGGAAAACAAAAATCTACAGACTACCAGAAACCTCCAGCTCTGGTGCCTGACACCCCTGCTACACAGTTTCTTAGTATCTCCTCATTTATATTTATTAAAGTTCATTCCCTCTTCAAACCGCTACGCAGCTGTAGGCTGCACATTTATAAGATATGTCGGGAAAACCTGTGATCTAAGTGTAAATAAAGTAAAAGACCATCAGCAATATTCAAAACAGGGCCTGATTAATACACACTGATTAATGTGTCTTTTAAAAACGAGGCCAACAATAGAGAACGATAACATAAGAGCTAGCACCAATGTTTACAACAGCTAACAAAGCTTCCGCATAGCTTGTTACTATGAGCACCGAAATGAAGCTAAAACACAAACTGTAACCAACATACGGGAAAGACACCGCAGACCCCTTCTGGCTTCAAAGTAAAAGAAAAACGAAGGATAAATATCTATGCTGTTTAGGATTAATGCTCTGTCTTGTCTGTCTGTCTTCTAAAACTCTACGACACTTAATTGTTCAATAGAAGTTCGCTAAATACCCTACAACCATGGCTAACTTAAAAGGCTTTTCTAATTTTCTTTGAAGTTGAATTACAATAACATGTTAAGCTAGCTCCCACGAAAAAAACTGTCATTCTTAATACCTTAGCTCAGTCAAAACAATAAAATGACCATTGGTGAAGAAAAATCATCTAGAAAAGCGAACTGTCTCGCCCAGCTGGTGTTATTAGTTTTAGCTAACGGTAAATAGCTGGTGTTATGTAGCCAGCGCTGGCTAGCTAGCCAACAGACAAGCTGAGCTGTCAAAACATGAACTGTTAGCTTCCGTATGGCAGCGTTGCAAACTCGATCAATCAAACAAGACGAAACATATTTGGAATTTACGGTAAACGTAGATCGATATATCCATTCATGAGAAGAAATCCTCTTCTTACTTTGAGCTTTATTAGGATATTTCAACACCCGAACCACATTCTTGCCTTTTACCTTGTGGTGCCTTCAGGGACAATCGTTCACTACTAATACTTCCCGAGCGCACATCACAATCATCTATATACTCTGTAAAATCATAAAGAAATATCAAGGTTTTGCATGTTATCTAATTTTAAAGACGTTATACTAAACAAAACAAGGTGCACTTCGGCAAAGCTCGTGCCATTAATTTCGGAAAAATGCGAAAACTTCCGTAGAATTGCTTCTCTCTTCTTTTTATTACACCACCGCTCACAAATAACTCACTGTCGCTTACCTTTTTGAAAAACTGCGACCAAAAAGAAAAAAAATATTACATGTAGGTTTTTTTATAGGTTTTTTGAAAAAAAGAGGACTAACAACTTGTAGAAATGGGAAGCTACGTGTGGACTATAAAGGCCACACCATCGCCGCACAGCAAATTATCAACATCCGGTCAACGTTCGTGTAAAGCAAGGGACCATGGGAATAGTAGTTCTGGCTGCAGCAACGCGAGACAGCATAAGACATAATTCCTCTGTCACGTCTGATTGTTACAGTTGTAGTAATACACGATAAGCAAAGCAAAGACTGTTTTTTGTTTTATTGTCGTTTTTGCTTTTATATATGTATTTATTTTATTTTATTTACAGCTAACTGAAGCTGCAAAATCCAAATGTACCAACAACAACAACAACAATAATACAACAACATAATAAACATAATCCAAATTATTATTATTATTATTATTATTGTTGTTGTTATTGTTGTTGTTGTTATTGTATCTACTAAACCTCTGAAAAAGCGAGGGAGGACAGGAAGTGCTGGTAAATAAGTGTAAATAATAAGTCTTACCTGTGGTGCTGTTGAATGATTGCTCCACCTCGACTGGCTGCTCTGTGATGATCAGCTCATCCTATACTGCACTGATGACAGGAAACTCCTCAGCAGGAGTCACTGGAGGTGGAGGAGCAGAGTGAGTCTGGTTCTGGATTGAGCTTTGGTTGCTGGTGGTGTTGGCAAAAGGATCAGCAGAAGGGTTCAGAGGAGCAGGTGGTGGAGAAATGACAGCAGAGTCCGTTTCCTGGCTGTTCATCTGCTTCATCCAGACCAGTGTTGGCAGAAGTTTCTGCAGAGAGGGTCAGCTGGAGGAGCATGTCGAGGAAAAGAATGGAGAGAAGGGTTGATTTTCCTCTGACCTGTTCCATTGCTTTATCCACACTGTTCAAACCATTGTGGAAGGCAGTGATAGCCAGATGCTGAATGAGGAGGGCGTCACCGCGCACTGTGTTGGTGACATTAGGATCAACAGTAGGTGGTGGAGATGAAACCAAAGCAGAGTGTGGTTCTGGGCCTGGTGCCGGTTCCTCCTTTGTTTCTGTCAGGCAGTGGTTTAATCCATTCTGGCTTGTGATGCTAAAAGGTTCAGCACTGGTGGTAGTGGAGCTGGAAAAACAGGACTATTGCATCTCTGATGGAGCAAGAGGAGGTGATCTGACGGAGCTTTTGCTCTTGCATGTTGGAGGAGATGTTTGGAGGCAGAAACCAGCCCTGCAGGGCTTCTAGAGCTATACGACCTTTAATGGAGGCCGAGCAGTCCGGAGCCATGGGGCTTCCTGCTGCTCTGGTGTCAGGTCCTGAAGTACTTGTGAGCCTGGCTGATGTTCTTCTGTTTCAAAAACACTTCAGAACACAACAAATACTTCAGAAAAGTTAGCCTTATTATCTGTCATACATCAGTTTATTACGAAAGTGCTGGAAAACACTTTTTGCTTGCCAAGACTGTAATTTTGCCAATTTTCTCAGCACTTTGCTTGATGTCATAACAACACAAAATTTTAACAACTGAAAATGCAGAATTTAGTCTAGTAAAAAATGTTTATGAAATCTGATTAGCACACTGTAATTTCACACCGTGAATTAATTTTAATAGATGTAAACCTTTTACATTCTCACAGATATTAAGAAAAGTATTGTATGCATGGCATTGTAAGTGATAGTTTTTCAAATGATATAAGCCTCACAAACCTTTAAACCTTGGCTGTCACCCCAAACTCCCCACAAATAATGGATTAAGAAATTACCGCACGATATAGTACAAACCCCATCTGTGTAGTTTCAGTTTTACAACAAAAATCCATTCAGTGCTCAGTGTACCGAATGTGATTGCAAAGAATAATATATCATCATTTCACAACAAAAAATACAAACGTGTGTGAAATGATGAAAGTCTCTCTAAAGAAAAGATGGTAATGTCTTCACTGTCTCTCTGGGAAACACTCCAAAGCTCATAAATAAAGAGCCAAAGTCACAGTCCTGTGTCCTGCAAAGGTTAAAGCAATTGTGGCGAGTTATTGGTGGTTTGAGGAGTATTTTATTTTTTTTGGCCTCGCACTGTACTGCAAAGGTAATGTCCTTTGTCATACGGAAGTTTAACAAAGCACCAAATCATACATTTCATGAATCTTAAACTCAGCCAGCTTGTTCAGCCTTTGAAGTCTTGTTGCTGTGGATTATTTGTAGGATTTGGAGATGCAACTTACAACTACACAAACAATCAAGTTTTGGACAGATGTATAATTTGTAAAAACTTCATTATATGCCATTATAGCATGGTTATTAATCATTATGACAGCTATTACATTAAAAAAATATATTCTTGCTTTCCTCTTGAGCTTTAGTCATTGAACTAATTGCTTAGTTTAAAAACTTAATCTTTTAATATATACATTCAAGTGTTCGACTTATTAGTGAGCTTAACCGCAACAAAACTCATATAAATTTCAGTAGAATCTTAACTCAAATCAAAGGCTGCAGACACTAGTTGCTGCTACTCTGCTAGACACTTCTTTTTTAAACTAGAATTAATGTGGCGACAAAATTAGATTGAGTTTTAGTTTTGGCCTTAAGGTCTAAATCCAACCAAAAGAGCGGATGTTGACCTCTGAGCTGAACCGGGGAGGTCTGTGTATTTCCAGTGATTTTGTTGGCATGGCACATTATGGCCTCCATAACGTATTGATCAAATTGAGAATATGAAATGATTCTACACTTTGACTTGACAGCGTTCTGCTCATGTCGGTTGCCTCCCTTTTTTTTTCTTTAATGTAACCTCTAGTAAAAGTGTTCTAAAATACACACAGAAACATGCATTCAATCTTATATTGATTCTCTGTCACACACACACACACTCCGCCCTGTATCCCCTGATAATTAAGAGCCTAATGGATCTTGTGCACGGCGGTGGTCACATTTTGGCTGGCATTTGCACAGATGAATGACTTGTCCAGTTGTAGTGTCTCTGCAGTGCACCGAGGCTCTATTGTCAAAACCAAAAGAGTCGAGCGTCTCCACAGAGCCGCGGGCGACCAATCATGAGTCCAGCTCTCATTAGCAGGCGTCCATTGTGGGTGACAAGAGGAGATAATTACCTTTGACTACAAGAGCACTTGCTGTCTTTCTCTCATTGGCAGCAATGCTTAGCCCATCATAGATAACGTGGACCACTTAAGTGATAAAAATATACCCAGTGTTACTAAATCTGTCTCTTTTTAGACATCGAAAATGTCTATAACCTGCAAGCAAGGTACTTTGATTGTAGCACTTAATCATGTTTGAATATATTGACTACTTTAACTCTGACTTCAATGCCTTAAATCTGCTGCTGCTTGGACATGTTTCTACAAGATCGGATTAACTCTCACAGCATGACATGTTTCTTAGCAATCCCTGTACCAGTTTTTCATCACTTTGTCTTGATTGATCTCTGTCTGAAACGGTCCATGCAGCTAAGACCATAACAGAGCAGCACATCAGAGAGAAGGATGCACCAACCCGCTCACACACACACGGAGTGTATAAACAGTACCCAGCCAGATTTAGAGTTAACAAGATAGGATGATATGAATAGGGGGCTAGTGGGCATGCTCAATGATTGACAGGCCGGGCTGCTGTCAGCTCCTCCAGGCAAGCATCAGCGAGCAGCAGTCCTGCTACTGTCAGAGCTCTGTTCTGGTCCACTGTGCCACACATACATATGCACATGGCCGAGCACACACAAATGCAAATGGGGATGGACGCACACTTAAGCACATGCACAGATACATGTGTACGCACACAACCACACGCTATTTTTTTTTTCTGCGTGCTTCAGTCACGCGCACATCCATGCACTGATGCTCTTTCTGTCCCTCCGCTGTGCCCCAGTGCTCAAAAGTCAGTTAAATAACGAATCTGTTGGTCTCTCTCCTTTTTGCATAGAAGCAGAGATGCTGGTTATTACTTGGATGGAACGGTGTATGTGTGCCTTTCTCTCAGCCGCAGTGTGGTCAGCCCACATGGGGGAACGTCTCATGAGGCTGTGAGAATATCCAGGCATGCCTGCTCATCGCTATTTAGATTGAGGCGGTGATAGCCAGCCTTGCACTGTAGCTAACCTCCTATTTTAATTCACTTGCCAGAAATAAAAAACCTGATTTCTTGTGCGTTATGCACTGTGGGACTGAGCCTACACTGAGGAGTTGTACAAGTTTGTGATTTCTAAATGTATCTCCATAAGTCACTGTACAGCATCATTTCCCTCAGACAAGTGTGTTTCAGTGCCACTATAAACATGACTTTGAGCAGGCTGGACATTAAAATATATCTGACATGTTTAATTCATATGGGCATGTCAGCAGTGGAAACCATGTATGAGTTTGCACAGAAGGTGCAGTGTGCTGCAGTTGCTGTCAGGTTACGATTGACTTTGCTGTTAAACAGAGGTGGAGGTGGCAGCGTTGAGTGCAAACAGGTGTAGGAGAAATGTTATGGAAATAAAGAAATACACCTACAGTATGTTGCAGTTTTGATTAAAAAAAAACAAAAAAAAAACAGTATGTCAACAAAGTCAACAATGCTGGATGCTTTGTGACACAGTAATTAGGAACAGTGGTGCTTTGAGCAAAATGCCAATGTGTGCATGCTAACAGTTAGGTACAGTTATCATTTTCACCACTTTAGTGTGTTAACAGGCTAAAATGTTCTAATTACCACTAAACACAAAGTAGAGCTGAAATCAATGGGAACATCATTAGTTTTGGCATGTATCTGATCATAAACTACAGGATCAGACAAATTACAATTTGGACCTGATGAGGCCACTGGATAGATGGAGAGACAAAGGATCCTGCTGAGGATGTGTCTGATGTCATGGCGGTCCACAAAATAACTGTCAAGACATTTCACTCAGAACCACAAATTTCAGTTTGGACTAAAGTAACCATCAACATTGCCTTCCCTAGAGTCATGCTGCTAGTACAGCTCACATAATTATTATTTCAATAATTTGTCTCTTGGAACAGTGGTA